TTTGGATTAGAAAGTTTTTTTATCTCCTAAGCTTTCTAAATACTGATGTGACTTTTCTTGGGGACGAGCTGATCCTTTCTGGTAGTCACTGTCAGTTTTCCTCTCACTCCAGACTGCAAGGTCAGTCATTCCTTTTCTAGCAAAGTCATCTTGGTAGAACTTCCTAAAACCCAGGGCTTTAATGGGGGAGCAATGTGAAAGGTCATTGTTCTCCTTCTCCAGCCAGAGGAGTAACCAAGTGTGGGTAGATGTGTACACACACTAGAGCATGTTTTGCTGGTCAATTATTTTTCAACAGCTCTCAAGTGAGGGTGAGAGGTACAGAGGATCCCACCTCTGGTCTTTCCAGTGGGGGAGTTTGGACAAGAAATATTGACAAGATGTATTTAAGGAAATGTTTGCTGCTGTCAAAGATTCACTCTAAGGTTCTCCTGTGGTTTTATCCAATTTTTCTTTGGGACTGACTGTCTGTGGTGCATATTTCAAACCAAAACAAACCTTTAAATGCTTCCTCCAGATGGGATAAGATATTGTATAGGAAAACAGTAAAAAAATTAGAAAAACTAAATAAACAAAAGAAAAACAAAATTAGGTATAACAAATCTAATTTATGGTAAATTGGCACTGATTTTGCTTTATATTAGGCACGTAGCGCTTCAGTAAAAAAAAATTTTTACTTACTCAGAACCAGTAACCAAGAAACTGCCCTTAATATCATCCTATTCAGGAGGTAAGTGAATGCATTTTGGGTACAGACTTCTAAACCACTGGTTTTTAGCTCTAATAATTGGTATTGGCATAGAGCTCTGTAAGCTAAACGTGGTGTTTATCACTTCAGCTGGCTACACCAAGGCCAGTAAAGGAGAATGTTTTATATTTAACAGGGAAATGTTTCTACCAGATGGGTTAATAATTGAGAGGAATACTTATGGACACATAATTATTAATAAGTGAGAGTAATAATTATGGACACATGAAGTGGCTGGGGATTGCTGTGTGCCAAAGTGAAACTCAGATTCATACCTAGATTGGGGTAAATTTTTTAAAGGCACACCACAATGCCTCAGAGATTGTATCACCAAGTTATTGGGAGCCCAACTTCCATTTTCAGAAATGATGCAGAGAGTTCATTGCCGTTCAGCAAGCTGTTGGTACTTTTTCCAAAAAAAAAAATAAAAATCCAGCCTTTAATTCAAAATTAGTTCACAAAAGCAGTCTTTGTCTCTTCATAATTACATTGCATAATGACTTCCCTACTTTTTAATAACATCAGATTTCTTGTCTGTGTCCATTATCACTAGCTTAGAAACTATTCTGTTGCTTTGGGAATTTCATATTCCAAGTCACTTACAGAACTATAATTAAGAACTTTCACCGAAGACCAGGTGATCCATGTATGTTAAGATTCTGCAGATTTAGTCTCATATCTTAGATTAATTTGAAACCTTATCATGCTGGTTTCATTATAAATGCTTCCATGGAAAGAACATGTTATTGGAAACTGAGTAATTAATAATCTCTACGTTGCCAAATGTTTTCTGAGCAGTTTGTTGAAGAATAGCAGAACTCCAGTTGAAAATCCTAGCTCTGTTGAAGCCAATGACAGAATTCCCATGAGCTTTAACAATATTTTTCATTTTCTTATCTTAAAAATTACTTGTCAAAACTTCTTAAGGTTCGTATGTTGGGGGTTAGAATATTTTCCTTTTGTTTTCTTTTGCTTAGGATATTTTCTCCCCTTTGTTGCTAAAAAACAATCACAACTGGTACATAAGAGAGAAAAAGGATGTAGCCATAGAGGAGGGGTGCAGCTGGCTGCTACTCCCATACCTGAGGGGTTTTCTCTTGGGAAGGCCACAGTTACCAAAAGATTTTGGGCTGGGGGAAGGGATTGGGCACAGCCTCCAGCTCTCACTCTCACTCCCGAGGGGGAGAGAGGCTGCAGTTGCTGTGGGGAGAATTTGCCACCACTGTGGGGTTTTGTCTCCTGCTAATGCCTCTGGTTTTAGCTTTCCTGTTTTTAGATTCTATTCTGCTTAGTGTGTGGGTCTGGGCTTCATATTAGGGGATACTGAGCTCTTCTCACAGAGTAGGGAGACAAAACAATTCCTTCTCCATGTGGGGACCCAAGGGCAACCAATCCCGATCTCAGACCCAAGAACATGAACAGCAGTGGACTGAAGAGAGAAAACAAGAAGGATGGGACTTCATGGGATAAAGCTATAATTGGACATTTAGTTCCGATATGCTAATGGACCAAAACTTATAAAAGTGTGAGACCCCATGACCGGTTGTCCACTTTTGTGACCATTTTAAGTTGCACTGCCCAAGGTGGATCTACTGAGACCTCTTAATAAACACCCACTTTATTCTCTAGCTCTGTTTAGTCTCTGTTCTAGGTCAGCCTTCACACGGCATCACTGCTGCCTTCTCCATCCAGGAGTAGAGCTCTGCTTGTAAAAGCAGCGGATGCACTGGGACAATGCCCTTATTAATGCCTGACCTCACTAAACAAACGACCCTCACCACAGATATTCCAGTGCCTTGGGGGAAAACCAGGCACCCTGAGCCCCTGCCCCATCTGAGGGAGCCTCTCCTTGCCCTGTTCAGGAGCGGGGCTGCTGCTGCACAGCCCTACGGCTTCTCTGCCATTGCTCTGGGTTTTTTGCTCCACTAGAGCCCCAAACTCTCCCCTGTCTGCTGGGACAGCCCGGGGTTCCAGCTATAGCTGCAGAATTTTTATACATTTTGTTTACTACGCCAGGATCCACTTTTTCCTGCTTGCTGTTTCTGAGGTTCCTGCTAGAGGTCATTTCGCTATCAGGAGAGGCACTGTGTTCGTGGTGGTGGCTGGTGCTGCTGCTGGCTGTGTTTGTCTGCCTCGTTATCCCTGTGCATACTACTAAAGATCTGTCATTCCTTTCCCATTTCTTTGCCTGAAAGCCCCTTACTTTCAAATTTATAATAATTCAGAGGGAAGGGGGTTGTAGGTCTCAGATTCAGTCAAAGAGAGAAACAGAAGCCTGAGAATCTGTTGGAAAAGAATGGAAATAAGGTTCTTTATCTCTCTTGTTGTTCACGTTGTTTATAGTTAAGGTCTACCACTGTGAGTCACTTACTGTGTGATATGTTTTCACTTCAGGACCAATGGAATTGGTCTGAAGGAAGCTCTCTATAAAGAGCAATACATTTTGAAATAAATCAGGGTTTTTCTCACTCAGCCTTCTAACTCAGAGTCTCCTCATTCCTGTCCTGCCTCAACAGCATCATCGGGTCATATTCTCCTTTCCAAGGGAGGTTCCTGCCTTCCTTGGCAAACACCTGTCTTTCAAATCATGACAGTGTACAAATTTATATTTGTACAGTAGAGGCCTATGTGCCCTTTTCACCTCCAAAGCAATTGTTTGAAGAATAAGAAGCAAGGAAGTAAAACGTGCAGTGGCTTTTTTCAGTCCTTTGGGCCAGAATAAAATGTACTCAAGAGAAATGTAATCTGCTGTTGTTTAGTGCTTTCTGAAAGTTCTGCTCTCCAGATCATGTCTGAATGAGAAGAAAAGTGGAAAAGAGTGGATGCAGATCCATCTACTGAAGATTCAGAATCATGAAAATTCTTACACTCCTGTCTTCAATACTTGTAATTAATTACAATTCCCAGGAGAGGCCTCTATTATTAACCAATTTTTCTGCTCTCATGGTAATTAGAATAAAGTTTCAGACTCCAAATCTTGGTGAGACCAGAGCTTAATCCTTATAGCCAGTCACAGCATTTGGATCTTAGCAGAGTTTCTGATGTAAAGTTCTAACCCTGTAAATTTGGACCTGAATATTGCAGTTAGTTTCCATTTAGTATTGCTTATTATATTGCAAAGCTCCTTGGAGTTCATGTGGTGGTCAATCGTGATATGCACATATACCAGTTTGAAAGATACTAAGCCTCACACAGAAGCTGTGGGCTTGCTATGGAATTTGCACATGCCCACATCATAGAATGGCTGGTTGGAAGGGACCTGAAAGGCCATCTGATTCCATCCTACCCTGCCAAGGGCTGGGACACCTTCCACTAGAACAGATTTTCCAAAGCATTTCCAGGGATAGGGCATCCACAGCTTCTCTGTCAATTTGTTCTACTGACTCAACACACTCACAATGAAGAATTTCTTCCCAATATCTCATTTAAACCAGCCCTCTGTTAGTTCAAAGCCATTCCCTCTTGTCCTGCCCTACAGGCTCTGGTAATAAGTCCCTCAGCATCTCTGTTTAAAGGATACAAATGGAATCTGCATGAATCAGGAACATAATTGACAGACATCTGTGATCATTGAGCTTTCCGTTAGATGATTGAGGCTGTGGGACACTGAATTACCAAGGTGTTAACTAAGGCTGATAATTTTTTTTAACTCAGCAAAACAACTTGTAAGAAATTCCCTTGCTACCAAAATGGAACTTTTTGCAAAAGGAATCTTCTTTCCTTATCTTTCATCTTAAGCTTAAATATTATCTCTTCCTAGCTAGCCCAAGTTCGGTCTTCACAGATTCATTTTGTTCTTAAACCAATTTTCCTGTCTGGCAAATATTTAGTAACTTCTTTATGTGGTTTTCTAGTGGGGTATCTAGTTCTCTTCTTAACATAGCCAGCTGTTCCAGGGAAACCAAGCAAACTGAAACTTGTCAAGTAAACCAAAAACTCTGCAGGAAAGAGAATGGAATTTCTTATTATGCCTGTCTTTATTTGCAGAATTTTGTAAATTATGTAGACTTTTATTCCCTGTCTTTATTCTTTTCATTACCTATATGTGGTAGTAACCAGTATCAAAACTTTCCTCCCCATCCAGCTCCAGATTTTGATGCAAAATGTTAAACAGGAGGTGGTAAACTAAGATATGGGTTTTTTTTTTTTTTGAATATTTCATTTAAGATGTTTGCTGGTATTCCCAGTAACCTTTTTCTTTTTTTTTTTTTT